AAACCCGGGCAGATGGAGCCCAAAAACCGGGCAGATGGAGCCCCAAACCCGGGGAGATGGAGCCCCCATGACCCTTTCCCCTTCCCACTGTGTCCCTCATGGCCCCGGACAGTTGTGGCCCGTCCAGATGTTCCCCTCATGGATCGTTCCCGCTTTGCCCCTCACGGTCCCCTCCCCCTGTGCCCGTCCCGCTGTGCCCCCATGGCCCCATCCAGCCCCGTCCCCCTCCCTCCCGCCGTTCCCCCGGTCCCGTTCCGCACCTGCAGCCGGGTCACGGCGCGGAGGAGCCGCCGCCATCCCTCGGCCTCGGCCCCGTTCCGCGGCACCAGCGCGGCCGCCATGACACCCGCACCGGCACCGCCTGATGACGTCATCGGGCCGCGACCGGGGCCGCCATGGCGGGGACAGGGACAGAGGGGACAGGGATGGGACAGGGACAGGGACAGGGCCGGGGTCAGGCCGCCGCGTCCTCGGGGTCCGAGCTCTCGGCCAGGTGCAGCTTCTGTCTGAGCGCGGGTCAAGGGAAACGCCACCACCGCCATTGTCACCACTGTCACCACTGGCATTGTCACCACTGGCATTGTCATCAGTGTCACCGCCACTGTCATCACGCCTGTCATTGGTACCTTCATCACTGCCACCCCGTGCCACCCCAATCACTGTCACCATTGTCACCCAGTGCTATCCCCTCACCGTCCCTGTCACCAGTGCCACCATCACCAGTGCCACCCAGTGCCACCCCCATCACCCAGTGCCACCATTGTTGTCCCCGTCACTGTCACCAGTGTCACCATCACCACTGTCACCCCGTGCCACCATCGCTGTCCCTGTCACTGTCACCAGTGCCACCATTGCCATTGTCACCCAGTGCCACCATGGCTGTCCCCGTCACCCCTCCAAGGATCCATGGAGCTGCTGAGCTCTTCGAGCTGCAGGGGAAAGCAGAGGGTGAGGGAGCGCAGGGGACCCCGTCAGGGGACAGGGGACAGGTGACAGTGACACTGACGTGTGCCAGCAGCTGGTCCAGGTTCCTGTCGGCCGCTGCCTTTTTCTGCTCCTCGGGGAGCTCCTCCACGCACCCGTCCAGCCCGAAGTGCAGCCGCGCCAGCTTCTCCTGCATCTCCCGCACGTGCTCCAGCTGCTCGAACGAGCACTCCTTCCCTAGACCCAAAATTCCCTCTCCTGCTCCTTCCGTGCAGATCCAAAATTCTCCATCCTGCTCTTTCCCTTTGGACCCAAAATTCCCCCTCCCGCCCTTTCCCATGGATCCAAAATTCTCCATCTGCTCCTTCCCTATGGACTCAAAAATTTCCATCCCACCCTTCCCTGCGGATCCAAAATTCCCCATCCCAACCCTTCCGTGCAGATCCAAAATTCTCTATCCCGTTCTTTCCCCATGGATCCAGAATTCCCATCCCACCCTTTCCCATGGACCCAAAACTCCCCATCCCACCCTTTCCTGCGGATCCAAAATTCTCCACCCCAACCCTTCCGTGCAGATCCAAAATTCTCTATCCCGTTCTTTCCCCATGGATCCAGAATTCCCATCCCACCCTTTCCTGTGGATCCAAAATTCCCCATCCCAACCCTTCCGTGCAGATCCAAAATTCCCCATCCCGTTCTTTCCCCATGGATCCAGAATTCCCCCTCCTGCTCTTTCCCATGGACCCAAAATCCAAAATCCCCCATCCCACCCTTCCCCGTGCCCATAGAAAGGACCCCCCACCCCCTCCTCACCGAACGCCTGCAGCTTCCCCGAGTGGAAATCGCTGAGGAGGCTGAGCAGCCCCCCCTCCATCTCGCACACGTCCGACACATCGGTGAGGAAGCTGTGCTGCAGCGGAGCCCCCCGGGAGCCCCCCGGAGCCGCCCGCAGCCGCTCCTTGCTCGTCCTGCGCGGGGAACGCGGCGTTGGCATCGCCCGGGGGGCTCCGAGCGGGGTCCCCCGGGTGTCCCCCGGCCGCACTGACCGGCGGGGCCGCGGCCGCTGGCGGGGCGAGGGCAGCGTGGGCAGCGGCAGCGCGAAGGACGCGCTTTTGCTCGGGGGCAGCGGCCGCGGGGCTCCGGGGGGCGCGGGCTGAGCCAGGCAGGTTTTGGGGCTCCGCTTCTTCCTCCGCTCGTCCATGGCCGGCGCTGCGGGGGCTGCGGGATGGACACGGCGCTCGGACACTCCGGACGCTCCGGACACTCCGGACGCTCCCGCTCCGTCCCTGCGCGGTTCGTGGCCGAGGGTTCGGGCACCCCGGGACAAACGGGGACCCCCGGGACAAGGAGCGACACCCCCGCGGGCCCCGTGAGCGCGGAGGAGGAGCGGAGCGGGAGCTCGGGCGCCGTTCCCGGGGAGGCTCCGTTCTCCCGGCGCATCCCGGAGCATCCCCGAGCCCAGCCCGACCGGGGCCTGAACCGCAGCCGCAGCTCCGGCCGGGCCTCGGCTCCCGGAGATGGAGAATTTGCGTCTGGAACGAGCCCGGAGAGAGCGGGGCAGCGACCGTGAGGGGTCCGTGCCCCCGGAGTACCCCCCGGGCTCCCCGAGCTCCGCGCGGCGCCGGGACGGGGCAGCTCCGGGGGTGCGGAGCTCCTTTGTCCCCTTTGTCCGCAGCTCCGGCCGCCGTCCGGAGCTCCACGGCCGGGACTGACCTGCGCCAGGCCCGCTCCGGCCTCCGGGGCCCGCTGGACGCGGCGATCCCGACGGTCACCCCGACCCCCCGGACCCCCCGAGCCCCCCGGACCCGTCCGCACCGCCCGGGATTTGCATTTAAAGGGAAAGGGAACTTCCTCCGGGATCCGCCGGTCACCGGCAGCCCGCGGGACCCCCACCCCGGGATTAGGACCGGGAACGGAGCAGGGTCCGACCCCGCGGAGCCCCCGGGCCGTTCGCGCCACCCCCCGCCCCCGGTTTACCCCGAGTGCCCTCCGGTGTCACCGCAGCGCCGCCGGAGCGGGATCCGAACCTGCAGGAAGGACCGGGATAGGGCCAAGAAGGACCGGGAAGAACCGGGCTGGGACTGGGAACGACCGGGAAGGGCCGGGAAGAACGGGGAAGGAACGGGAAGGAGCCAAGAAGGACCGGGAAGGGAGCGGGAAAGAACCGGGAAGGACCAGGAAGGACCGGCAATATCCGGGAAGGACAAAAAAAACAAACCCGGGAAGCACCGGGAAGGAGCTAAGAAGGAACGGGAAGGGTCAGGAAGGACCGGGAAGAGCTGGGAAGGATCAAAAAAACCCGGGAAGCACTGAGAAGGAGCCAAGAATGGCCGGCAAGGRCCGGSAAGGACCGGGAAGGGCCTCCAGGCCGGCGCACGGATGGGATTAACCCAATCCCGTCCCCCCGCCCTTCCAGCCCGAGCGCGGCTGCTCGCGTAAATCCCGGCAGGATTTTAAACCCATTTTGGCTATTTTGGAGCCGATTTTGGGCACAAAGGAGCAGCCGGGAGGGTTTGAGACCCCCAAGGCCGGTGGCTTTTGGTGGCTGCAGCTGCCCGGGGAGGGAGAGCCACGGTCTGGGGTCCCCGAGTGTCCCCAAATGTCCCCCCTGAGCAGGGACATCCCCTCCCACTGCCCCCACAGCCTCCCCCACCTCATTCCCGCTGGAAAAAAACAGGACCAGAGCTTTGGGACAGAGGAAATCACATYCCCCAGAGGTTGATGGGGTCACCCCAAATTCCCCCAAAACCTTCAGTGCCCCCCGATAAAGAACGAGAGGCAGCGGCGAGGTTGGAGTGTTTCTATTGATACAGGACGCGCACAGCAGCCCCCGCCGAGCTTTCTGTACCGTAACGGGGGAAAAAAAAAACAAACAAAAAGGGAGTTGGGTGAATTTCTAAAGGGTTTTTCTTTTGAAAAGGAGCGGGAGGAGCGGCACAGGCAGCGCTCAGCCCGGGTTACATTCGGGATCGTCCCGGAGGAACCGCACGGGGCAGAGCCACGCTCAGCTCCGGGATTGTCCCCCGTGGAGGCTCCGGGACACTCAGGGCTCATCCCTGCCGCCTTCCTTAGCATTCCTGGATTCACTGCAGCTCCCTGGAGGAGAAGGGCATGTGGAGGAAGGTTCTTCATGGAGAGGAGATGTGAGAGCAGCGGAAGGGAATCCCAAACCGATCCAGATCCATCGGTGGGGAACATCTCCAGCTTCCAGCGGGACCAAGGCAATGCTGCGAGTGAAATCTGACACARAGAGAAGCTGCAGCGAGGTTTGAAGCGAGCCGAGGCTTCCAAAAGAACGGCGAAAACACAAAGTTTTGAGAAACCGAGGAGAAATCCCAAAGCAGGTCCYGCTCTGGCCCTAAACTGCCTGCTGGGTCCTTGGGGTGAGGCAGAGTAGGGGAGAGGCTCTTCCAGGCTGAGAGGGGAAGGGAAAATGGGGCTGGGAGAGCCCAGGCACCCCCAGGCTCAGTCCTGG